TATGGTGCTGCCAAAAAAAAAATGTTATCTGCAAATAGCAATAAGAGAATAACTCCCTGCAGGGTGGATTTCAGCAAAGGATTAGCAAAGAAGACAGTGGAGGGTTGTGTACTGGCTATAAGCGCAGGCCCTGGATGGCTCAGACACCTGTTACCTGTGCGGCCTTGAGCTACCCCTAAACTAACCTCCTCTCAGCCTTGGGTTCCTCATCTGTAAATTGGAAACAATGGGGAAAAATAAAAAGGAAATAACGGGATCCACCTCAGAGGGCTGCTGTGAGGATTAAATAAAATAATACATAATAAGTGTTCTATACAAGTTTTAATGAGCAGAAAGCACTTAGAACATAAAGCCTAGCACGTAATATGATGTTTCATAGACAGTAACCAGCATCACACAAGTTGTAAGTAGGATGATATGCTAAGTATACACATGCTTCACAGAAAGGCTGAACACATTTCCGAAAACAATGCATGATTTGGTCACTCTTGAAGCAAAGAGCTCGCACTGTGACAGGCCTTGTGAAAGTCACTCACTGTGCCCAACTCTTTGCGACCCCATGGGCTGTAGCCGGCCGGGCTGCTCTGTCCGTGGGACCCTCCAGGCCAGAATGCTGGGGTGGGCAGCTGTGCCCTTCCCCACGGAGTGTCCCAGCCCAGGAACTGAACCCAGCTTTCCCGCACTGCAGGCGGGCTCTTTACCGACTGAGCCACACGGGAGCCCCAGTAGATCTTGCGATAGGGCTTACGCCAGCCATTATCAACAAAGGTCCCTCCATCAAATCTCTCGCACCCCTGTTCACATTAGCTGGTGTCCATGACACCACTGCATACGTGTGCACAACTGACATCTCCAAGGAGGGCAGCTCGCAAAAACAGTGGCATCTATTCCCCACGGTGTCTTTTCCCTAAGGTTTTCTTTAATGAGGGTGTCCAAACTGCAAAAACAATATACAGGAGAGGCAGAGAGAAGCTCACATGATTAGAAGAGAACCACGTGTTTTTGTAAATATTTATTGAGCTTCTACTGTGAGTGAGGAACCATGTCTCTCTTTCATGTCTCAACTTCACAGTAACTCTATAAGCATGATTTTGCTCTTTTAAAATAAACTTTCATCTTACCTACAAGTGTACAGAGATAACATTTATGAACTGTCCTTTGAGGAACACGGTGGGCACCATTGCATTAGACCTGACCAGAATGGATACAACTGAAAACTGAATCATTTCAAAGAGTTGGTGTGGTTCCCTTGAGACTGACAGTGTGGGCAAGGGAAGCATGGTCTATATAAGGCAGGAATCTGTGATCATACTCAGCCAGAAGCACAAGCTTCTTGGCACGGCCATCAGTGTCCTCCAATCTGGCTCCTTCTTCATCTCTCTCTGCTCTCTAAGCCGCCATCACCTCATCCTGTGTATAAAACCAAATCTCCCTGCCTCGGCTGCTCCTCTGCACGGCATGCGCTGTACCCAAAGGGTTGTTGGGAGAATCAAATCCTTGGCTGTATGTGATGCACCCAGAAGAGTGCCTGGCAGAGGGGAAGGGCTGCGGAAGGATTCATCATAGTTGTTCATTATTACTGTCACTATTGGTTGCTGTTGTTAAGTGTCTGTTAATAGTGAAAAGTGGAAGAAGAAAGGGGATTGTGCCCTGAAGCCAAGCGAATGCTGAATTCCCTCACTGGCTCGGGGCCACCCTGCTGAAGAGTCCAGTGGCGGAGCCCCTCACCACTTACTCTCAAAGCAGACACAGACCTTTCACTCTGGGTGGTACTCACGTCCTTGTTTCTCGCCTGGGCTGCCTGACCCCTGCCAGAGCCAGCTGGCTGGCGACTCCACAGCCTGCATGACCTACAAAGGACACTGCAGTTCAGTTCCTTGCAACCCAGCCCCCAGCAGGGCTCCTGCTCCTAGCACATCAGTGCTGAGCATTAGAGGCGAACTCTTCCAACAGCACCCCTGTAACAGAGGGGGAAACAGCCCATACCGTAATTATCATTTAAACCTGGAAGAAACTTGAAAGTTTTCCTAGCCTGCCACTTTTCAAACTCCACATTCTATGGTGTGAAGATGAGATGTCAGCTCTGTGGTTAAGTCATCCATTCATTCATTTATGGATCACCCACCACCTGCTGGGCATCAGGGACACAAGTCAGAAACCACTCCTGCCCTCAGGACCTCACAGGCAAACAGGGAAGCGTGATAGTAGGTAAATAATCACACCTCTAATAGTAAAGTCCTGTTGGGAGTAAATTATGTTAAAACATCCTAGAATGAGCATCTCCACGTACAGTACCAGTATGCTTTCTGAGCAGGAGAACAGGCAAAGTAGGGGCTGGAGGAGACAGTAACAGGTAGCACCTCGGAAACCGTTCACCCCATCGTGTTCACCTGCACGAGCGCTTCACACAGAGTAAAATCACCATTATGTGGCTGCAGCAGCAGAGAGACTGGGAACCACGGACCTAGCTGGACCCACTCCCATTTGACAGACAGGCAAACTGAGGCTTAAAGAATTTAACTCACTTGCCAAAGTCACACAGTAGATAAACGGGAGATGCTTAAGGTTTGGTAGTGGCTCACACAGGCTTCCAAAAAAGTTCACATCCCACAGTGTGGCACACGATCTGACCCCTGCCCACCCCTCCTGTCTCCTCTCTCACCATTCTGCCGCCCACTCTGTGACCCAGCCCTATCGAATTAAGTGTGAAGTCCCAAAGGCACTGCTGCTCTATCTGTCCCACTCCCTCTGCCAGGGATCCAAAGTCAACGATCCCTAATAACAATAATAAATAATAATAAATAATTCCCAGAACTCAGCTCAGGGCTCTCTCCTCCAGGACATGGCCCTGACATGATGCTCCTCTACCTCCTAGAGCAGGTACACCTTTACACAGACACAGAAACACTCATCACGTAAGGTGTTCATCCATTCAACACATATTTATTGAGCACCTTCTGTGTGCCAAGCACCTGAGGATACAGCAGTACATAAAACAAGGCCCTTGCCCTCATGGAGCTTACATTCTAGTGAGGGAAACAGACAATAACCAATACGAAATCCAGTGTCACCAGAGTTCAGTGCTATGAGAAAACCAATAAAGAAGAGCAAGCATCAGCTGGGGGGCGGGGGGGGCTACAGGTGAAGGTCTCTCTGAGGGGCTGGCATTTGATCAGAGATCTGAAGTGATAGAGGAAGCCACGCCAACAGCTGGGAAAGGAGCATTTCAGGAGCAGCAGCAGGGGCCCTGTAACTACCGCAGTGATTACTTACTTGGGTCTTATCGCTTCCTGAACTTGGAAGTCCTTGAAGGCAAGGGTTACATCTCAAGCACCTTTGCATCACAGGGCCCAGTGTCCACAGTGGACACTTACAGAATGAGTGACTGAAGCTGGACCAGCATGTGTGGCTGCTGATTTCTGAGTCCGGATGTCTCCATCTGTTGAGATCTGGCCAGTTTTGTGTCTCTCTGCCCGACCCTCGCCCCAGGGCTAAGCTAAGCACAGGCCATGCTCGGGCCAGTCAGCCTGCCTTCATCCTGTGGCCTGGTCTCAGTCCCTGGGTCTCCCTTCATCAGGACTATGGTACTGACGAGCTCTCCATGTCTATCTCCTTCTCGTCCTCATATCTCACACCTTGACCTAGGCCCCTGTCCCAAAACCCAGACACCTAGCACTGGGAGCCTCCCTCAGTTTCTCCAGGGTTCATGGGCATAAAAGCCCTCCCCTGATCCCCAAGCCCCAAGGCCGGGGGAGGGGGCGGCGCCCTGACACCTGGAATCAGACTAGTCAATGGCTAATCCCTCCCTATCTGGAAATCTGCGCTGCCTGACTCTCAACTCCCTTCCAAACCACATGACTCCTACTGCTGGGACATCAACCCTCTGACCTCATTAATCCTAATTAATGTGGCCATCTCTCTGCATGTTCCAGCTTCATTATACCATTCTTGAATGTCTTCTCTAGCCAAGGCCCAGGGCTGCTAAGGACCCACATCCTCGAGTCGCCTATTACAGATTCTGTTCCATCAGCAGACCGCATGGGTCCAAGCCTCCAGGTTCCACTACCCTAAACCACATCCTGACACTCCCAAAAGCACATTAAATAACATTAGGCGCTGCAAATAAAGTCGCATGGCTTTATCCACTCAGTCAACTACAACAGATTATCTCTGGATGTCACTGGTGCTTCATCCCAACCCCTTCCAGATCTAAAATAAGTTCAAGGACAAATAACCCATTCCTTCACTCACCCTTTTGCCCACCAGCTCCTGATGCCTGTTTATATGCCAAGCCTTGGGACATAAAACCCAGCACCTACACTGTTGTCAGTAATACTGACGGTGATGTGATGGTGATGGTGGAAAAGAGAGAAGAGTGGGTGGTAAGATGAGTTCCCATTTACTGCAGACTTGGGTTATATTATAATACACAGTGAGTCTTCTAATACTAAGAAAAGTATGAGATAGGTATATTTAGCCTGACTTTACAGGGGAAGAAGTAGACTAAAGAAGTGAGGCGAGTTGCTCAAGGTCACACAGCTAAGTGACTGGATGCTGACCCTAGTCTATCTGCCTCCAAAGTACAAACGGTTCAGCCTCCGCAAGGGGCCACCCAGTGAATGCTAAACAAATAAAACTTAGGGAAGAAATGAAAGAGAGAGGGGATCGAGGGCTTCAGGGACTCACAAGCTGCTGGAGGAGACAGACATATAAACAAATATCTACCATGTGGGGGAGGCGAGTGCTGATGGCTGGAGATCATGGAGCCAAGGGTAGCTGCAGGGGAGCTAGAAGGAAGGACAAACTAACTCGACCTGGAGGGATCTAGAGCAGTCTTGAGGAAGTGACTTGGGGGCTAGTCTTTGAAGGAGAAGCAGTTAGAGGCTGCCAAGCGTGGCGCACAGCAGGAGCTTGGCCCTGGGACCTGGTCTGAGCCAGCAGGCTCCTCTGAGGTCTTCCAGTCCACCCCCCTGTGCCCACGCGGCCGGGCCGGGCCTCACCTCCTTCCACCTGAGCTGGCGGATGCTGATCTTCAGGGCGTCCAGGGAGGTCCTGGCCTTGGAGCTGTCCACGGTGACCGGCCGCAGAGAGCAGTACTCGTCGGGCTGGCCCGAGCTCCGCTTGCAGCTGCGGCCCTTGATCCTAGACTTCCCGTGCGGGCAGAGACCAGACGCCGGCTCCGACTTCGCCAGGGACACGGGCAGCGTGGGCGGCGGCCGCGGGGGAATGCGGGCGTCACCTTCCTCGGCCGCGCTGGGTGTCGCCGGGACCGGCTCCTTGGGCTGCTCCTCCCCCGCCTTGCGCTCCGGTTCCCCGGCCGCGCCCGGGGCCACGCAGACCTGCTCCTTCGCCGCCTGCGCTTTGGTCGCGGCCACGGCCTCCGCCTCCCACCAGGCCGCCAACTCCCTCTCGGGACTGCCCCGCAGCATGGCCCTCAGGGCTGGTGCCAACGCCAGTGACGGAACCGCCGCCGCCGCCGCTCCGCCGCCCCGGCCCCCGACCAAACTGCCGTCGCTGCCGTCGCTGCCGCCGCTGCCGCGCGCTCCCCTCCCGAGCCGGTTGCCATGATCGCTCAGGCTCCGGTTGACAAGGGCAGTCGCTCACTGGACGGGGCCCGAGAAGGGACAATCGCCGTCACAGCCCCGGCGACCTCATAGGCGAGGCTGCTCACGTGGTCAGGCCTGTCACAGAGGCGGCGGCGGACATCTTGGAAGAGGGCGGAAGCGGCCTTGGCCCGCCCCCTCGGAGAACACGTTGGGTAGCTGAGCTCGCAGAACTTGGAGCCGACCGGCTGGAGATGAGCTTGAGGGTGGAACAGCTATCGGAGCTTGCTGGGCTCCGGGACTGGGTCGGAGAGACGATAATTTCAGACAGGAAACCCACTTTCCTCCACCCCACACGCCCTCACTGGGATATCTCCTGGTCCGATGGAGGAGGCACAACCTCACCCATTCTAAGCACTTCCACCCTCAGAAAGAATCTCAGCCTGATGGTGGAGATAACAAATCCAGGCCCTCAAAGAGCAGCTACTCGTTTGAGGAAATCGCTTTCTCGTTCTGGGAGAGCCCCCAGACTGAGAGGGGGGGGATACCTTTCCCTCTCCTCAGGGAGCTCGCAATGGAATGGGGAGGCCATGGGGAAACCTGCATATTCACGGTTTAGTTGAGGACATCAGCCAGCTCCTTTTCATATTATATCATTAAAAAAGAAATTTGGTATCAATGAAATACACATAAAATGTGTCATTTTAACCATTTTTTTTTTTTTAGGTATAGCCAAGGGCGTTAACACATTCACATTGTGCAAACATCACCATTTATCTCCTGAACTTTTTCATCTTCTTCAACTGAAACTCTGTACCCATTAAACTCTTAACTCACAGCCGCCGGACCTCCATTTTCCTTTCTGTCTATATGAATTTGATAAACTGCCTAATATAAGTGGAATCACCCAACATTTATCCCTTCGTGTCTAGCTTATTCACTCAGCATAATGCCTTTGGGGTTCATCCATGTTGTAATATTATCAGAATTTCATGCCTTTGTAAGGCAGAACAGTGTTCCATTGTATGGATAGACCACATTGTGTTTATCCATTCATCCGACAGTGGACATTTGGGTTGTTTCCATATGTTGTCTATTGTGAATGATGCTGATCTGAACATGAATACACAAATACCTAGTCCACTCCCTGCACTCAATTCCTTTGGGGTTGCCGTGTATTTTAAAAGCCAATCCAAGGAGAGGGCCTTCCCATCTCACCTTAGGGAACCACATTTCATTTTTTCAGTGAATGGGGTTGGGAAGGGATAGCACCTCATACTGAGGACAGTAGCTGTGACAGCCCCCACCAGTAAACTTTGCCTCACTTTGCAGATGAAATAATGATACAAGAGAGGAAAAGAAGAGGAATCACAAGGAAGTATGTAATTAAGTGCCAAATGAGCCAAAGAGTTTAAAAAAATTATTTAGGAGTTCAAAGAATGGAGAATTTACTGTGAATTAGAAAGTTAGATAAAACTTCATATAAGAGATGGAATATAAACTGAGTCTTCAAGATAGAGTAAGAATCAGGTAGAGAGAAGGAAAGGGATTTCCTTGTTGGTCCAGTGGCTAAGACTCTATGCTCCTGATGCTGGGGGCCCGGGTTTGATCCCTGGTCAGGTAATTAGATCCCACACGCCGCAACTAAAGATCCCACAGGCCATAACAAAGATCAAAACTCCTGCACACCACAACTAGGACCCAGAGTCAAATAAATACGTACATAAATAAAAAGAAAGCAGGTGGGGCAGTCATTCCAGAGGCTGTGGCAGCTGTGTACAGTCACGCAGATCACCCAGAGAGCCTCAAGGGGGTTGAAATCCAACTTGCTCTCTGCCCACCAAGCCTCACCCATCGAGGCTTTGTTCCACAGAAAGGGGCACCTTTGCTGATTGGTTCAAAGGCTCCCAGGGCTAATGGGGCCCTGTACTGAGAGGGAGCTGGGGGAAAGGTGCAGGACAAGTAAATTTAAGAAGGGAGTAGTTATGGTGATCAGCTTGAAATGTATAGAAATAGCAAATCACTGTCTTGTGTACCAGGAACTAACATAGTGTGGTAACTCAATTATACTTCAAAACCAAATTCAATCACTTCTCGGCCTTTTGGCTAAGATCAAGTGCAAAACCAAATTCAGAGGAAAAGAGGACAGATGTGTGGTTACCACATGGACAGAGGAGCCTGGCAGGCTACAGTCCATGGGGTAGCGAAGAGTCAGGACTGAGCGCTAAGCACAGAACACAGCATTGGGGAGGCGAAGGGTTTGGGGGAGGGAAGGCTGGATTAAGGCAGTCAAAGGTACAAACTTCCAGTCATAAGGTAGATAAGTACTAGGAATGTAGCCTATTACATGTTAAATAGAATTAACACCATTGTATGCTATATATAAACATTGTTAGAGTAAATCCTGAGTTCTCATCACAAGAAAACATTTTTTTGTTCCTTTAATTTTGTACCTATCTGGGATGATGTATGTTCAGTAAATTATTGTGCTCATCACTTTGTGATATATGTAAATCAGATCATTATGTTGTACACAAACTTACACACTGCTTATGTCAATTATATCACAATAAAACTGGAAGAAAAAATAAAATTTATTAATCCTGTAAAAAAAGGTGGGGAGAGGGGATAATTGATGCTTTCAAATTACGGTGCTGGAGAAAACTCATGAGAGTCCCCTGGACTGCAAGGAGATCAAACTGGTGAATCCTAAAGGAAATCAACCCTGAATATTCATTGGAAGGACAGATGCTGAAGCTTGAAGCTTCAGTATTTTGGCCACCTGATGCAAAGAACTGACTCATTGGAAAAGACCCTGATGCTGAGAAAGATTGAAGGTAGGAGGAACAGGGGAAGACAGAGGATGAGATGGTTGGATGGCATCACCGACTCAATGGAGATGAGTTTGAGCAAGCTCTGGGAGTTGGTGATGGACAGGGAAGCCTGGCATGCTGCAGTCCATGGGGTCGCAAAGAGTCAGACACCACTGAGTGACTGAATAGCAACCAAAGTCATAAGCCTTTTCAGGGGGCCAGGGAATAGACTAGAATTGTGGAGACACAAGCCTTAGAGGCAAATCCCATTAGAGCTCCCAGGCAGGGCTCTGAATGCTGTGGTGACCTCTGACTTCTCAGGAAATTCTAAAATGTGTTGGTTGAAAATCCAAGCCCTTGCGGGTCCCCTCACAGAGAAGCTTCAGTTATGGCTGCTGAGGAGAAAAGAGCAGCGGAGACTCGGGGACCAGAAATACCTCCCCAAACACACAAATACATCAAGAAATACCTCTCTTTCCTTCACATACTCACCACATCTTAGAGTCAGAGTTTTATTTGTTTGTTTACTTATGATGGACTGTCTCACTGACCAGAGTCCCAGTGCCACAGGTAAGGGTGTCCTGCCCTCGTTTACCATATCCCAGCACCCAGTCAGTGCCTGGCAGACAGTAGGCATTCAACAACCATTTTTTTGATTGATTAATGAATGAATGAACTAATGAATGAATGAGCCAAACGAATGAATGAAAGAAAAACTGCTAAGACATTTGATGATAAGAAAATACTTAGGCAAATTATGGCAAATGTCAACCACAGGTTTAGCCATGTAGGATGAACATTATCCTGGTGATGTAACATCAAGCAACCTGGTGCAAGCCTGGTAATCACAATGCTTAAAGACTGTTCCGAGTAAACAGGGCCCGCAAGAAGCTAGAGACAAGTGAGAACAGCTGTGATGCTGGAGTCACGAGATCTTGGTTGAAATTTTCCTCTCAGTTTTGGCAAACTCTGTCCACCTGGAGGCTCTTCCTACCCCTGGTTCCAGAAATTCATCCCATTTCTAGAGGTTTCTGCTGTGAATCAGAAAGGCAGGCTAAGTTTTCCATGGTAACCTAGTATCAGCGAGAAACCTCTCTGGCCTGAGCACTGTACTAAGCATTTTGCATATATTGTATCATTTAAGCTTCACAGCAGCCCTGGGATAAGTCCCCATATTTTACAGATGGTGAAGGAAATTGCTGCCCAGAGAAGTTATTTGCCTAAGTCACACAGCTCGTAAAGGCAAAGATACGATTCAAACTCAGGATTATCTGATACTTAAACCCAGCTCCCAAACCCACACTAACCCCCACATCAAGCCTTTGTTCACAAAACATAAGCCACATATGTTTAAACATAACTGCGCCCATATATAGGTACATGTATTTATACCTTATATATACACACACACACACGCTTCCCAGGTGGTGCTAGTGGTAAAGAACCTGCCTGTCAATGCAGGAGACATGAAGAAATGCAGGCTCGATCCCTGGGTTGAGACAATTCCGTGGAGGAGGGCATGGCAACCCACTCCAGTATTCTTCCCTGGAGAGTCCCATGGACAGAGGAGCCTGGTGGGCTACGGTCCACAGGGTCACAAAGAGACACAACTAAAGCAACTTAGCACACAGTGCATGCACACACACACACATATACACACACACACTAATCCTCAGTGTATGTGGATTACATGAAAATTACATGCAGAGAAAATCTCTGGATTCAAAGATGTCAGTATCTTAGACAATATATATAAAATCCACAAAAGACTTGTATCTTGAAAATATAAAGAATTCTTTATATAACAAAGAGATGATCAAAAACGGGAAAAGACACGGATAGTCATTCACAAAAGAAGATATCCAAATAGCCAATGAACATAAAGAGTTGAGACACTTCATGCGTCAGCAGGGAATTGATCATTTGAGCCACGATGGGTAAGTGGAAAAGACTGACAATGCCAGCACATCCTTTGGCAAAAGAAGCTGGCCATAAAGC